TGGATCGAAGGGTCCCGGGTTCGATTCCGGTCAAGGGCACGTACCTCGGTTGCAGGCTCCTCCCTGGCCCAGGCCCTGGTCGGGGCGCGTGCAGGAGGCAGCCCATCGACGTGTTTCTCTCACATCCATGTTTCTCTCTGTCTTTCCCTCTCCCTTCCACTCTCTCTAAAAGTCGGTGGGAAAAATATCCTCGGGTGAGGATTAAAAAATAATAAGTGCTTTGTGGCGCGAGCATCTTACGGTTCTGTTTTTGTCGGGGGCCTCAGGAAATAAAACCGCAGGGGAAGGAAGGGAAAGAAGAAAGAACTTTGCATGTGAAAGAGCTGCGGGCAAGTCCTTTTTGATCTCACCCCCTAAGAGACGATTCTATTTCCATCGCAGGGAATTGGGCCGTTCTTGCTTCACACACTCCAACTGAGCAACTGTCCCCCTTTGAGTTTCAAGATGACCCTTTAAGTGCAAGGAATACAGGGTATTTGAGATAAGGTTCATTTTTCCTTCCTTGTGCGATGAAGTGTCCAGTGTGTGGCGTGGGTTAAACTCCACAGCCCTGAGCAAAACAGCCATGTTGAGCTGTGCAAACCCTTTTCCGTAGACAGAGGTAGAGGGTGGAACTTCACCGTTCTTTTAACATTCTCTGGGTGTCTGTGGGTTTGAAAATGAACTCTTTTCTTTTTTTAAAAAAGACCGAATGAGCAAAGCCTTTGATAGTTGTTTCACATTCTGCTAATTTCTGCCATAGTCTCTCTATTCTATTTTTAAATCTCACCCCAGGATGTGGTTTTTTTTTTTAAAAAGTTGATTTTAGAGAAAGGAAGGGAGAAAGAGAGAGAGACATAAATTTGTTGTTTCACTTTCATTGGTTGCTTCTTATAGGTGACCTGACGGGGGATCGGACCTGCAACCTTGGTGTATCAGGAAAATGCTCTAACCAAATAAGCCATCTCTGGCCAGGCTGCTATTTTACTTATTTATTTTTTATTTTATTTTCGAGAGAGAGAGAGGAAGGGGGAGGGGGGAGAGAGAGAGAGAGAGACACACATTCATGAGAGAGACATAGATCGGCTGCCTCCTGCCCTCCCCCTACTGGGGATGGAGCCCGCCACCCGGGCATGTGCCCCGACTGGGCAGCAAACCAGCGGCTCTCACCAGACGGCAGGTCCCACAATGCACCTGTCTCTGTGTTTCAGGTTGGGCTTCCCCATGATGGTGGTCTCCTGCACGGTGGCGATGTGCTACCTGCTGGTGGTCCATGTTGTGATGGGGTGGAGCTAACAGGGACGCCTCCTCTGAAGGCCGAGGGGAACCCGACCCGTCACCCGCGTCCGGAGAACACTCCCCCATGGGCCTCTCCTGGGAGGAGGAGAGGTGCTTCCATGGGGGTGCGACAGAGGGCGGACCTTGGCACCCACATTCCTTATCCGGCTGGATGCTGGCCAAACATGGCCGGTAGAAACATGGGTCACTTCCCCAAGACACCCCGACAGGAAAGACGTGCGTTTCAGGAAAGGCACCGATGCCGTCATCCACCCCAAATGGCCTGTGTTGCTCAGGGTCCCTTCGCCGAGGCCGTCCACGGTTTTCCTTCGTGTCATCACTGTTCATATTAGAGTCACGAGCGAATTGTGTCCCCTCCGAAGACACGCTGTTCCTTGGGAAGGCCTACCCCTTGTAAGGCAACAGTTTATGTATTAAAAAAGTAAATAAACAAACTCTCCCTTGGCAAATGGTCTTGGAATTTGCTAACCCATCACATGTTGGGTAGTTTACATTATGCAACATGGCATTTCACGCCTGCGTTTCTCTCTGGAGTTAGTCAGTCATCAATTAAAACTCTAGAAATCCGGCTGGACGGGGTGGCGCAGTGATTGAGCACCGACCTAGGAACCAGGAGGTCACGGTTCGATTCCCGGTCGGGGCACATGCCCGTGTGGCAGGCTCGATCCCCAGTGTGGGGCCTGCAGGAGGCAGCTGATCCATGATTCTCTCTCATCACGGATGTTTCTCTCTCTTTTCCCACTCCCTTCCTCCCTGGAATCAATAAAACACACGCATACACACACACACATACACACACACACACACACTTATATTACAAGATAGAAGATAGCTATGCACGTTCAAAGGCATTTAAATTTTGCCCCAGCCCTAACTGGTTTGGCTCAGTGGATAGAGCGTCAGCCTGCGGACTGAAGGGTCCCGGGTTCGATTCCGGTCAAGGGCATGTGCCTGGGTTGTGGGCACATCCCCGGTGGGGGATGTGCAGGAGGCAGCTGATCGATGTTTCTCTCTCATCGATGTTTCTAACTCTCTATCCCTCTCCCTTCCTCTCTGTAAAAAATCAATAAAATATATTTAAAAAAAAAATTATTTTGCCCCAGCCCTAACTGGTTTGGCTCAGTGGATAGAGCGTCGGTCTCAGACTGAAGGGGCCCAGGTTCCACTGCAGTCAAGGGCACCTGCACGGGGTTCGGGGTTCCATCCCCAGTGCTGGGTGTGCAGGAGGAGACAGCTGATCCATGATTCTCTTATCGTTGATATTTCTCTCTTCCTCTCCCTTCCTCTCTGGAATCAATAAAAAAATCTATATTTTAAAAAAAAAAGGTGCTTCCCTAACCTGGCAGGGGACCTTCGTCCAGGGACCCTGGGGACCCAGGAAGCCCCTTTCCCATCCCGGCCCTTCGGGCTGACCACGCCCCCTGTCCCCCGCCCCCTCGGGGGGGCCCCCCCCCCGGGGGCCCTCCTGGAATACCCCCCGGTCCCGGTCCCTGTTGGGGAATAAAAAAAATGGGGGGGGGGGGGGGAAATGGGACTTGCCGGGGGGGGGCGGGGGTGGGGTTGGAGGGCTTTTTAT